TCAGCTTTGTGTTTTATGAGAATGGTGTCCATATAACAAAGACTTCCTAAAGAGATATAGCAGAGATATACAGAAACTTCCTAAAGAAAAATAATCATACATCACTTCCTAAAGAGAAATTATTACACTACAATGTGAAAAAATAGAAGGGCATGCCCATAACACTGAGCAATTCTTCTGCGTGCCTAAGCATTTGCATTCTTATTGGTGTAAAGGAAGTTATGGGCAGGCTAGCTTCCTGTTGTAGGTCCTTTATTTTGTGTTCTGTTCTATCAACTGCCCTCTGACTGTTTTATAATTTATCATTTTCATTAGCAGCTCATAAATAATCAACCAGGTCTCTTTTAGCAAAGGAAGATCTTGTTTTACTTGTATGTACAAGTAAAACAAGTACAAGAACATCTGGATGGATCCTTTTTGTCTAGCTTGTTGTGGTATGGAAGGAATTGTTAGTAAGCCAGGAATATATTTTTCCTTCCTTTTGGATTTTTTTTTTCTACCATTTGCATTTTGAATGGAAGAACAATTAACTATAGTCTCTATGTAGCTTAAAGTATAGCCATGCAAAGCTTGTTGGCAAATATCACTTTTTTAGAGAACATCTGTTTAGGTCATGGCGTATTTCTCTTAGGTAATGCCTGATTGTAGTATTGTATGTCTCTGTAATTTATTTGTCATGAAAGATTATGAAACTGGGTCTATTCACAATATCTACAAAGAAAGCAAAGATTCCAAACTGAAAAGATAGGGTCTAAGACTGTAAAAAACAGAGAAAAGGAAACTACAATGGCATCATGAATGACAAAGGTCTGTATGTGGAGTTTATAGTAAGGGGTAATTTTAGCTTTAGTAATGCCTGTTTACACATGAAAAATTTACCAAGCCTCAGTCAATGCTCTCATGTTTAACACAATGAGCTAGATTTATTCCTTTAAGAGTTTCAACAGATTTATGCAAGAAATGAGTCAGTGCATCAACTGTGAAATTCATTGCTTTTGCAAAACCCTTTTCTGCTTCTTAAAGCTTATGAAAACCAGAGAATATACACATTTTCAAAGGAGCTGCTACCATTTTCATAATTGCTCAATTTAAAATGGTGTTTTATTCAACAGACAGCTACCAGGTGTCACATCAGAAATATTTCTATTCCCAGGATGATGTGCTGTTAAGGACTTCAGAAACAGAATATGTATTATACTGATTGGTCCTGATATTATTCCTTTTTTTTTTTGTAAGCTTTTTGCAGTCCGCATATTTTCCACAATTTATTAATACAGTAGGAAGCCCACATAGTTAATTCAACATCCTTTGATTCAGAGGCTGGTGTTCTTTTTGAATAATGAAACTTTTGTACACGATTAACTTTCTCAAAGTTGAACTTCCAAGTCTAATTTAGCATAATTATAACTCTAATAAAGTGCTGTTCTAGATTATCACACATTAAAACCCAAGTCTTCTCGGCAGATGGAAACATGGCACTGCACCTCCAAAAGTAAGGAAATAAATATTCATTGGTATTAGCATTAATATGGCCTTGAATTTGACTAGTCTAAGTAGTCTAAGGATTAGTGAAGTAGATTGATCACAGAAAAAAGTTATTTATTTAAAGAAATAGGCAAAAGATAGGCAAAACCAGCTACATCCTATCAGGAAGTAAATCTGTGGGCACTAGGATCTCTGTAGGCACTTGTATATATGTGTTTGTGTGTGTCTCTGTGTGTGAAAAAGAGAGTGAATGTGTGTGCATGTGTGTGTGCATAAGTAGATACATGCAGACCTTGGTAACAAAGAGCCTGAGATTAGCAATCTCAAGACAAAGAGCAGGCAGAATGAAAGGCAAAGAGGAGATACAGAATTAATTCCTAACTTTATCCACAGCTTGCAGTCCCTTGTGAGGTGCTAAGCATCAGTGCCACTAATGCCAAATTTCCAGCGAGATATTTCAGGATTCATGAAGGAAAATTATCTCGTCATTAAGGTTCACTTGAGAGCTGCAGTCTTTGTACTGTCAAGTCTAAACTCCTCACAGAGATGCTAATTAATATCTTTAATTATGGATTAAACAGTGGTTGATATGAGAGGCTTTCTTGTATCCCTCTTGCTCTTTCAGCATTACTGTAATATCTTTGCCACTGGGCTGAGGGATGTAAAATGACAGATTCCCACCCCTTTTTCTTTTCCATGAACTGGCAATCATCTTCTGCAAATGGATTCTGCCTTCTGCGAGATAACTGAAGAATTTTAATTTTATTAAATATTTAATTTTATTGAGCAAAGTTTAATACCAATATGTATAACCTGAGAGCAGCTTGGCCTATACTCAAGTAAACACTTGATTAGAGCAAGCAGCCAGGTCAGAAGTTGAAGCCTTCCGAAAGCCAGCTGGCTCTTCTGAAATTGTCACGATGCAGCATGTGACAAGTGTCAGATTAAAAACTACAGAACAGGCCAAGCAAGCATCCTCTGGCAAACAACCGTGGTTATGCTTCATTGGAGCAGAAGTAAGACAGAAAGCGCCAGTCTCATTTCTGGTAAGATATTATGAAACTACAAAGAATAAAACACCTGCTTGACATGCTGGCATGTTTACCTATTTAATTCTGAGTTTCCTTGTTCCTGTGGCAAAAGAATGGATGCAGACAGACTGGAAAGTTAAAATAGGCTGGGACCCATGTACAGGCTGCATGTTTCTGCTCTTCAGCTTGGCTGGCTGGGGAATTCTGGGAATTGAAGTCCACAGGTCATAAAGTTGCCATAGTTCCACACCCCTGCACTAGACTTCTTCCTATAAGCATGGGAATGGGAAACCTACAGAAAACATGTTCCACTCTACGACTGGTTGGGGTTCAGCTTTTGGCATGAGAAGGAAACCCATAACTTCACAACAGAGAATATAAAAAAGAATCTAGTGCACAATAAAACCTAGCTCATCTATTAAGACTTGAAAAATTAAGTACACGATTCAGTTCCAGTTGCTGATTCTGAGGGAAGATTCTTCACCCTCACCAGTTTAAGAGATTGTGGTACAAGGAAGGTGAGGCACATAGCCCATAACTTTGGCTACCATTGCCTCCTGCCTTCTCAAGGCAGAGTGGTTCTTTGCCTTGTAACAAAGACTGATAGCAATAGCAATAGCACTTAGACTTATATACTGCTTTACAGTGCTTTATAACCCTGTCTAAGTGGTTTACAGAGTCAGCATATTGCCCCCAACAATCTGGGTCCTCATTTTACCAACCTCGGAAGGATGGAAGGCTTGGTCATCCTTGAGCCTGGTGAGATTTGAACTGCCAAATTGCAGGCAGCCAGCAGGCAGCAGAAGTAGCCTGTAGTACTGCACTCTAACCACTGCGCCACCACAGCTCATGATGATGTTGGGGAAGTGCAACTTGCCAGCATATCCCAGCATCAGCCTTATAATGATACTGGTTACAATAAGCAAACATACTTCCCAGAGTTATAATCAAATAGTAGTCACCCCCTTGGACTATTTGCTTCAAATGCCTTAGGCTGAGGCTAAGCTTGTTCCAGTCAAGTTCAGTCTTGAATACAGATGTTCGTATTTGTTTCTGAATATTTTCTCTGATGCCATTTGTCCCAACATAGACTATAATAGCTCTTAGTCCTGCAGACAGTTTAACAGGGCCTTCCAAATGTGTTAAAGGTTCAGAGCTGGCACAGCACATTGTAGGTGCTGAAAATGCAATTTTGTTAGAAAAAGCTTTTGTGAGTTTTGACGTCATACTGTATATCACAGCTTTAATTTTTTTATTTTTTTTTATTTTTTATTTATTTGCTTTAATTTATATGCCGCCCTTCTCCGGAGACTCAGGGCGGCTTACAATGTGTTAAGCAATAGCCTTCATACTTTTGTATATTTATACAAAGTCAGCTTATTGCCCCCAACAATCTGGGTCCTCATTTTACCAACCTCGGAAGGATGGAAGGCTGAGTCAACCTTGAGCCTGGTGAGATTTGAACTTGCAGTAATTGCAAGCAGCAGATGTTAATAACAGTTTCACATATGACTGCATGATCCTTCCCATCTCTCCCACATCAATTTTTTTTCAAACAAAACTTTGAATCAATAGAAAAATCTGCACATCTGGAACTAATTCAACAGTATGTGAAACAAGAAAAACATTGTGTAACACAAGAAACAATCATTATTTTTCATATTCATTTTGTATAAAGGGGGAAAGAAACTACCGTACTGCAAACACATTACGGTGGATCAGATCAAAGATTTGTCCTGCTAATCTGTTGTCCTGCTTCTCATTCTGACCAAGAAGATGCCAATATGAAATATATATACACTGAGGTCAATAACGCTATTGTTATATTCCAGCAACTGGTATTCACAAGATATGCTCATCTTAATAGCCATTAAGCCCCATGTCTCTCTCCAGTCTTAATATCATGAAAGTTTAGTACATGTTTTCAACTAACATTTATAAGTGAAAGGAACCAGCTGATAATTTGGTGATCTCATACAATGTTTTGTAAAGGTTTTTATTTTTTCTTTCATGTACAAATATTTGGTTGATATAGTCCTGAGAAGCAGATATTCCATAACCTGTTAAATATCCCTCAACATTCTAACACACAAAGATAAAAGTCCTTCTTTCAAACCATTTTTTTTTTTACAATAAATCTTTGTTGCTCCAATTTAGGTACCTAAGAGATACAGCAGTATCATCTTTGTTACTTGACAGGAAACTGCAGAATTAGTAGCAACAATTTTTACTTACTCTCAGATGAAACTGTTGAATAGCATGAGCCTTTTAAGCTATGCATCAGAAACGTCTCATGCTTCAAAATTCATAATAGTCTGAGTGATGTTAAGGTATTTGTGTTGTTTCTCCTCTTTTTCCTTGCACCCAAACACATCTACATTTTGGCAGGAGCCAACCAGATCTAGCATCAATTAAAAATTTCATATATGATTCCTACAGATTTCAAGTTTCCTATTTTCAGTCATTATCCCGACAAGTACTTACCTGCACCTAAGGATCACTTTTGTGCACAGCTCCTCAATGCACCTATGCAGTAAGTATGTTGGAAAACTCTGCGGTTGTTTACCGAAACATAGCTGTCAGTCAGTTCAATATTTCTATTTGTTTAAACTTGCCAGGATGCTAACGTTGCTTTCCAGATTTGCTAATGTTCTATATTTGTAATGTGCTAACTTGATCTGTGGCTTGAAAGCAGCCACGGACATAGAATGGCATGACAGAATATCAACGCTCCTCAGCTTCACTTGGAGAACAGAACAGTACTTTTAATATGATAAGCCTCATACTTCCACTAGAGCTATAGAAATAACACTAGTCTGACCTACAAATCAAACATAATTTAAAATTATTTGGAAGCACTAGATATGGTACTCTTTAGATATGGCAGAAAAGAGAAAACAGGCTGTTTACTTTAGGAATAATATATTGACTGACAGGAGGGATATTGCAGAGCCCAAATCCCCATCTACAAGACACTCCAGCGAGGCAGGCGCATGTTTTAAGAGAAAGATTGACCTTCTGACCTTCCTGATATAGTCTCAAAGATCTTTGAAGGAACAGATCCAGCTGGTCTTTCCTGGCAGAACTTCATCTCTGAGGTAATTGCATTGCAATGTATGTGGAGAAGAAGTGCCAGGAATCCATGTGGTTAAAGGTCTGTTCAAGTAAACAATTTACTAAGGCTGCAACGGAAGGCAGCTGGAGAAGGTTCCCTTTTGGTTTGCTTATAGATCAATGATCGGTAAAAGGGAAAAAGAGAGGCCATTTTGCTTTTACTACACAGAACCAGTGTGGTTACAGTGTTGAATTGAAGCTGGGAGGCTTGGGTTCAAGTCCAACCTCAGCTATGGAATCTCAGTAGGTGATGTTGAACCAGTCATTTTCTCTCACCTCAACGTACAGGTAGTCCTCAATTTATAACCACAACTGAGCCCAAGCATTCTGTGGCTAAGTGACGTAGTTGTCAAATGAGGTTTGCCCCATTTTGCAACCTTTCTTGCCACAGTTGTCAATTGTATCATTGCAGTTGTTAAATTAGTTGTTACGTGAATTTGGGTTCCCCGTTGACTTTGCTTGTCAGAAGATCGCAAAAGGTGATCACATGACCCCGGGATAGTGCAACTGTCATAAACATTAGCCAATTGCCAAGTGTCCAGATTTTGAGCACATGATCATGGGAATGCTTCGACAGTCATAACTGTGAAAAATAGTCATAAGTCACTTTTTTCAGTGTTGTAGCTTTCAGTGCCATTGTAATTGTAATCCTAATTAGGTCCCCATGTCTCTTTTCTGCACTAGAGAAATAGTCCCACTAGGGCAATAGAAATTTTTACCAATTCAAATTACAGTAGAAAAATAGAAAGAAAATCACTTTAAGAAATGAATCTGAGATGTCAGTTTCTTCTTTATTTTTGAAAAAGCTTTGTACTGAAAAACGAAAAAATGACACATTATGTTGCTACATGTCCCAGATTTAGTAAGCACGACTGAATTAATTTCATGTAAATATCTATGCTTATCAGTGGAGCTTTTCATTTAGTTAATTGTCTGTGTTATGTTTAATTTCTTTAACTACTATAATATATTCAGTGTTTATTTTCTTCACTATATTAACACTTTTTAATATGGACATTTTCTTTTGCATTTCATTGGATACATAGGTGAAGAAGATCCAATATATTATTAAATTATAGTGTGGGGCAAAAATTTAATGCCCTGCCCAAATGCAATAAGCCTGAACCAATTCATTCAAACAATTATATCAGGTTATATGTGCTATAACATGATGCACTTTGTTGCATTCTCATGATTCTAAGACTCTTCTGTCAAGTTCATTGAATTTTTCACATTGCATTTCTTTCCTCTCATGTTTTACAATAGAATAAAAACTTTATTGTCACTTTAAATTTACACTAATCAGCATACATTAAAATGAAATTTTATTGCATTCAGCTCTCAAATGATGAGCATTATGTATATGCCCAGATAGACACACTGTCAACCTGCAAAACAACTTCAGCTGAAGCCATGCTTACTTCTGCTTCGTTTCTTGGTTGCCATTCAAAGATGGGGTAAGAGGGAATTTAGGAATGTGATGCCTCAGCTGGCTAGCCATAACATCTACCAGCCAGCGTGTGAAACCAAGTTCATGTCAATGGACACCTGTTGAAGCCAGGTGGGAATTTACATCTGGAGTGATTGGCTCATGTGACCTGAGAGACATTGGGTGATGGGGAAATTCATTCTTTTAACTATCCCTAAGCATGGGAATAAGTTAGAGCTAGCTTCACCTTTCTAAGTGCCAATATGATGTACTCAATAAAGGGTTGCTTGAACCTAAACACAGTGTCAAAGTCCTGATCTCCCAGAGTTCATTATTCAGAATGATGACACACATGTATATGACACAAAGGAATACCACAGTCTAATTCAAATGTATACATACACATGGTGAAAAAAAAGAATCCTGCAAATTTACAAGATGGATGGCATAAAGAACAAAGCTGTTACAGAATCTAATAGTCCTGCTATAGATACTTTGAAACCTCCTCCAAAAGGAGAACCACAGAAACAGACTGTGTGAAGTGGGTGTGTGGGGTCTCTAACAATACTTCGAGCCCTAAGTCCATGGCGCTTATAAGCAGTATCCTGAATAAAGGGAAGCGGGCTTCCTATCATCTTCTGAGCTGTCCTTACCACTGTCTGTATGGATCTTCTATCTGAGGCACTGCTGCCACCAAACCAAACAGTGATGCAGTTTGTTAAAATGCTCTCAGTTGTGCCTCTGTAAAAAGTAGCCAGGTCAGAAGGAGAAAGATGTGCTTTCCTCATCTGATGCAGGAAATGCAAGTGCTGGTTTACACGCTTCACTAAGGATGATGTGTGGAGAGACCAAGTCAGATTGTTAGTTATCTGCACTCACAGATATTTAACACTATTGGCTACCTCCACAGCTCCAGCCTTGATAAGTGGAGTATGATTATGCCAGCTCTTTCTAAAATCTACAATGATCTCCTTTGTTTTGTTAACATTCAAAACCAGGTTATTTTTATTGCACCAGTCCACCAAAGCCTTCACCTCCTCCCTATAAGAATCTTCACTGTCATCCCGGATAAGCCCCACTACTGCCGTGTCATCTGCATACTTCACAATATGATTCGTAGCAGACTTGGCATAGCAGTCATAGGTCATCACGGTGAACAGCAACGGACTCAAAACACAGCAAAGGCAACAGAAAAAAGGGAACCAGGCTAGGGTAGACATTCTGCATTAAATAACGTTAAGTAAAGGTTACAAAACCTTGCTACAGATCTGCTGGTCCCAGTGGCAAATTTAAGTCAGTTCAATTGACCCTTCCTTATCCTTTCGGAGATGTAACAAAACAAAAAATTGGTAAGGTTTATTATGTCAGATACCGCAGCACCTAGAGCACAGTGTAAAAATATAACACGGCAGAGTATCATCCCTCTGACACTGTAATCGGAAAACTTTTCTTGTGTTAACTGTCATATAGGTGGGAAATTGAGAAGCGATCCTGCAAAAGGCCGGGTTGCTTCAGAAAAGGATGAAACTATACTTTATAAAATTACACAGAGTGAAAGTGATTAGAGAGGTGTTTTTCTTCCTGTCATAATAGCAGGATCTGAGGTCATCCGGGGAAGTTGGTTGATAAGGATTAGGGATAAAGGAATGTTCTGCCCCAGCTCCGGATTCCCGAGGATATTGACACACACCAACGGTCCTTATCAAATTTATTAAGTAGCAAGAATAAACCAAAATCCGGCAAAGGTTTGCAACCAGCCCAGAAAACAAGATATGATAAGACTTTTCCAAAAATGCTCTGATGATAATTACAAGTTGTTTCTAGCAAGAAACTTATTAACGGCATGTGACTTCAATAGGCTAAGGGAGTGGCCAATTATCTTCAAGCCTTACTCTCGAGGAGACCTCCTCCTCCTGAGTAGCCACTCCTGCCTTTTGGCAGCCCTGCGTGCTTGAGCATTGAGGAGAGGCTCCTCCACTTTGCTATCTCCACTTGAAGAAGCCTTTGGAGGTTCTGAAGGCCCTGGCTGAGTCTCTGCCTCTGGCACCACATCCTCTTCAGCCTCCTCGCTGTCTGACGCGAGCACTGGCTGTGCAGGCTGCTGGCGCGACACCACACCAGCCTCCTCGTCATCGGGATCAGCCACAATCCATGCAGGCTGTTGGCGGGCCACAACAAGGAAGTGAAGTATTGTTTCTTTTTCTTTTTTGCATAGCACATTTTTAAACTATGGATTTGGGTTGCAAAATATCGACACTACCTTATAATCATCCTATTATAATCCTTCCTATTAGCAATAGGAAGAACATTCATTTAATTCTCATTTGAATACAATCTTAACAAGTTTACATTTTAAACCATTGCACAAATCCTAAGATTGGTTACCATTTCAAATTGGCATTATTCCAAATTTTGCGATACAGTTTGCTAACCAAAGTACCTGTTTCCCTGAAAAGAAGATAGCTCAGAATTAAAGCCAAGTCTTCTCAAAGAATGTTTAGACAACTCTCCAAAGAGTCTGCCTCAATTATACTATTCATAATGAAACCAAGATTTTTCCCCATTTTCCCCATTTTAAGTGTAACTTTGGGGACGGGGAGTAAAGCTTCTATGCCAGTGTTTCTCAACCTTGGAAGCTTGAAGATGGGTGGACTTCAACTCCCAGAATCCCCCAGCCAGCAGCGCTGGCTGGGGAATTCTGGGAGTTGAAGTCCACCCATCTTCAAGCTACCAAGGTTGAGAAACATTGCTCTATGCTTCCTTTTGATATATTAATGAAGAGTTAATACAAAACAACATGTATGCATTATTTCACCAAGCCTCAGGAAAAGAGCTGTTATGACTATTCCTCCAGATAGCAACCATTTTAATAATGTGTTTTAGAATATTTGATATCCTGAGCACACAACTATTACATATGTACTTGGTTTTTATTTTTGAGTACTGTGTGTTTGTTTTAACCCAAGTTATAGAATTGGAGAGTATTTCAATCAGATGATTGGAATACCTTGGAAATATATACAACTAATAATGTACATGTGCAGCATTATATTGGGGAAAATTGCAAAAAAGAAATGATTGAAATAGGCAAAATCATTAACCAGAAAGGAGATATTTTGGGAAAACATGCACTGAAACTTTAGTAAGCACTTTATTTTAAGAAAACATTCTCAAGTCCAACAATCAGTCAATTCATCAAAATGAGAAACTGGGGAAAAACAAACTTGACAGAATTGGAAAAATGAGAAGCTTGAGAAACACTGAAATGTG